ACCTCTTTACATACAGKAATTGAAGTCTCCCMAAAGTCTTCTTTTTTGTATATAAAAGAAAGAGATGTTGCTCATTTTAATGCTGATGATGATGATGATAACAGCAGATTCCATCCAGATATCTTGTAAATATTCCATCCAAATATCTTGTAAATTAATGTATAACTCATAAAGATGTTAAAGCATAAAAAATAAATAAATAAAATGTCACAGTTCTTTTACAAGTTTCCAAAAGTGCATACAGGAATTGTAGAAATATATCATACATGCCCAAAATGTTGGTCTCCCCAAAGTCTTCTTTTTTGTATCGGTTAAAAAGAGATGCTGCTCATTTTAATGCTGATGGTGATGATGAAAGCACATACTATCATCCAAAGAAATGTTGTCCAATGTCTATGAGTCATTATATCATTATATGCTGACTCCAACAGATTTATTCCAAGTATCTTGTTAACAAAACATTCCATAATTTGATCAAGATTTGTAAAGATACTGCAGGCATTTATGAATAATGAAATGTTGTTCAATACCACAGTTTCTTTCAGTTAACATGATGATGGCAGAAGATTTTTTTTCAAAGGATCTTTCGAATTGTAAAGGACTTCCCAAGAGTGTTCGTGCCATCAAAATATTGAAGTACAGAAATTCTGTTCAATGTTCTGGAGTTTTCTTGGTCTAATGAAGATTTTATCCAAAACTCTTGCTCAAACTGGCCAACACCTTTAATGTTTGTGTCAGTAATGTTCCAAAATAATGACCACCATTAAGAAGTTTCCAGTGATCTTGAAGTTACATGTCATTGTCAAAATTGTTCATGATCTTCTCCAGATGTCTGTGTTTATCAAAGTGCAAGAAATGATTTTATAAAACAATGGTAAGTTTGTATTTGAAGGCTTTAGTCTACGTACACTGCTGAAATCCTCAGGAGTTCCCAAATAATTCAGTTAATTTTGCAGATTGTCCCATGATTGCCACACTAGCTGTAGATGTTCTATATGCAATATCTTTAAAATATTTGATTTCATTTCTTCTTCATTGTAAATGCATGTTGTACTTAATGTTGAAGTCCAATATCACTTGGTGTAAATATAGATGACACATAATACAATATTAGCTTAGCATTTACATCCAAATCAATAATATTGATAATCATTCTATTTAACGTTACTTGTGTCATCTTCTTGACTCATTCTAGATGTWCATCAAAAGTAAATGTTTTAATAATAATCTTTTTCTTTCATTTAGATTACTTGCTGTAAACATTGTAAACAGATAGTTTTGTCTTGTTGTTGTTAGTACCAATGCTTGTAAATATTGAGATTGATACTGATATCGTTCTTGTTGAGTACACTTTGCACACTTCCTTACACAGCAATTGTTCTCTTCTTTGAAATCTTGATCACTGATATAATGAACTGTATAATTATGAAGTTCTGAAGAACTGAAATGTTGTACCAATAATATCGCCAACTGATGTATTGCATGCTGATTGTACAGTATGAGCTCCAAATATACCACTCCTTGTCCTGGCAGCATCCAAGTTTTTGATGTACATATTTGTATTTGCTACTGATATATGATAAGTTTCTTTGTCTATGGTATAGTTGTTCATGCCATTCAAGTGACATGTAATAATAATAATTTTATCTTTGTTTCTACGTAGTAAGTCCAAATATTTCAGTGCCTCTCTTCAATACATGTACATGCCTTTAGATCCAAGTTGATTTTTTTGTAATGACAACTTCTTATAACAGTATTTGACATTCTTTTCAATTTCTTTTTAAATTTTTGACTTGATGTATAACTTCATATGTCCACATTGTCTTTGCAATTGAGGCACTTGTCATTTCACACAGATTTTTGACATCAAGTAGATCAACATGAGGTAATTGCACTGTCCATCATTGCATGATATAATTTTTGCTTTTCAAGATGGCAGCAAACCTCTCTCCATTAGATTGTAAATAAAATAGATAAATAAATACACTTTTTACTTCAACTTTTTTTCACTTCACAATATATTTTTTTAAATTATGTTTTAATTCATTAAGCTTTTAGGTTAGGTTTTTTCAGCAAGTTTTATACAGTCACGTACATGTACATTATCCTCAGAAATTTCATTAGAAAAAGACTGTTATAGAAAATTGATATGTCTAGACACATGCAGTACAGAAGTACCAAGATCTTTTAAGATTAAAATTTCCTGCATTAAATTAAAATTAAAATTTCCTGCATTACTATTTAAAGATTTAAAATCACAACGAAAGAATCCAGCTGATATCTAGAGAAAGTTCTGAATTTCTACTGCAATCACGTGTTTTGAGGATTCGTATTCAGTACTATTCTGCCATCTCAGAGGTTTATTTCCAGGTATTACCTTTCACAGCTCAAGCTGAAATACTTGTGTAATGGAGAATTTAAGGACACGTAATTTGTTGGTATCGACAAGTGAAATGCATGGTGAGTACAGACAAACTAACACAAACCTTTAGCCCTTCCATCATTAAGAAATCTTTCATGCCTCCTATAAATACTATCAAAATATCTACCATACTGTGCTCCTAAATTGTCAAAATGTTTAAGAATTAGTGCGAAATGTCGGAGAATTTGCAACTAGACAATACTTTAAAATAAATTTCTCACACTTCTCACAAAACCTACAAAGTTAAGCAAGCACACTAATATCATATCAAAAGTTGCACAACTTGCTTGATTCACTAAGAAAGGAGGTTCTTTTCTATCTTACAGCTTTCTGATTCTCATCCAGTAGTGACTTAATTAGGTAAAAAAGTCTAACAGAGTATCCACAATTCCCTGGCCATAATTAAACTGAAAGAACATCAAAAGACACAAAAAACCTTGTTATGAATTCATGGAACTAAAAAACATTTTTGTAGAGTGTGAAACATCCCAACTTATACCATATTCATTTTCATTTGACCTATTATAGACCTCCCTGCTCTCCCTTATCATCTTATAGAGAGGATTACCTATAAGTTTTCTGTGTAGTCAAAACAAAAAGAGATTCTATGTGTTTTGAGTCATCTGTGTCCTTGCATAATTTTACTAATTCTTCTCTTAAATAACTACAATATTTTGAGAATTATACCACCTCTAATATCCTCAATTTTGTTACTGCAGCATCAATAAGTTCTTCCTCAATAACAATACAACAGGGCATATAAARCAGTTTCTGATTGGCTCTCATTTTGCTTGATTCTAACACAAGTCATGATTGGTTAATTGGTCATTAGGTCATCAAACTTCACAAGTTTTGCTTGAATGYAAGAAAGTAAGSATGTAAGGTGCATGTGTAACCAAAATAATATAATGGGTAGTTCTAGAAAATTAGRAAATTCCGAAATTGCGAATCCCCCTCCCCTAAGGAATTCCAAAACCGTGTTTTCCCCTTCCTAGGAAATTAGTTTGCCCCCTTGGAAATGAATGAGAATAAATATTTTCTTCAAAACAAGCACTGTTTTAGAGAATKCAACYGTTAAACTGATGGTTAGAAAAACAATGCATCATCTAGACTCGTGGAAGTGTTTAAAAGTGTTTTACACTTTCAGTGTACGTAAGTCCCAGTTAAATATTGTTTTCTATAATTTGTCTATAAGTCCCTCCCTCCTTTGGATTTCTGAAATCATTCAGCCCCCTTCTCCAGTGGAATTCCCAAATTGATGACCCCCTCTCCCATCTGGATKTCCAAAATGCCGCCTGTCRTATGGTATGGATATTTTCTGGAACTACCAAATGTACATGCAAACTATATATTTAACTACCCTAAATTGGTAGCAGTTGAAAATCAATAAATGTAACATCCTGAATAAAACTGTATAGAGTGAAAAATTAAAAAAATCAAGCTTATATACAATTATTTGGAACAGTGTAATTAAAAGTTGTTTTGTTTTTCACAGCGCTGGGCCAGCTGCAATAAGATTGATAATAATATTTCCAAAAAGCAGAMTTGAGATGACAGCTTGTTTGTTTACAAGGCATCAGTAATTAAAAGAAAACGTAACCTTCTGACAGAAATGAGTTCTTGAATTAACATACATTACAAGGGGGGGCGGCAACAAAGGGGGGACTGGGGTGGCCCTGTTTCTATTATTACATCTTACTCTTGTTCATTCTCTAATAACATATATTTTTGTCATATATTTAACTGATTAAAATAGTTATAGCTATTCTTACCACCTCTTCAAGCTTCACAAGTCAACAAACTTTGACGATGTTTTGCCTCYMCACRGACTAGAACGGTGTGACACTCGACTTCAAAGCAACAAATTCAATATTTTTGGCCTAAAAACACAAATAAACCAACATAATTAGAGTCTAMAAGGTCYTTTGGCCAACAGAATTAAAGCACTGATGAAATAAAAGAAGGTTTTAAGCATTTTTTACCTCCAAAACATTTCATGTTTTCATAAATCCACGTGCAATCCGCCATAACAGTATGACCGCAAAGCATCACGATTCATCCACAGGGAGCCCATGAAAACGGGTGATACATCCGGCCGCCATCTTGAATTTTAGGCTGTGCAAAATAAAATATTTTGTTTCRCTRTTTTCTAGAAAAACTGGTTCTTKCTTCACTTTTATTGAGAGTATACGCCGCGGACTACAASTGGAGTATCAGGCAAATACAATTATGACACTGTCATACCCTCGACCGCAAACGAAAACACCGTGTCCGTGTGTAATACGTTTTTAGCGCATTTTTGGCTAAAAAAAAAGAAATTTTTTTTCTTTCATTTGATGAGACGAGAGATGCGACGATTAGCAAAAGTGAATATCATAGTATATGTCAACCAACCGCGTGTGGTAAAGTGTGGCAAAGTCATATATATTGGAGTAATATATCTATGATTTGATAGTTTATTTGCTCATTCACTTGTGTCGCATTCTTTCATTAGCCCATGGGTGCGTCTTTCACCGTGACGCAGGATTACAGTACCCCGAAGGTAACACACGATGACCATTATATAACAAAATTCGCGTTTTATTAAAAGATCATTTATTAGTAAAACCCCACTATTAAAATCATGTTTATATCAATTTTTTACACTGTTCATGTACAACCATAGATTTCTACACGCATGCATACGTAGTTCGCTTCCACAGGRTGAAACCTGACGTAACGAGCTTGTACAGCTCCTTGTAGTCTGTTAATTACTGGAGTGAAGTGGTCACAGTTACCCGTAAACACCTAAGAAAAACAATAACGATTTATTGATACACCAATGAATAAGATCCTAGATACGTCCCTGGAGCTGCAGGATCTTAGTCTAGATCTCTGCTGACACAATTAGGGTTTAGGGTTAGGATAGGCATGATTAGTGTGGCAATTTTACCTTTTCGGATCCAGCGCCGTCTTGGACATACACCCAGTTAGTTTCATCAATACTGTGAGACAATTTAAACGTTTTGACGTGCTCGAAGTATTTGTGTCGACCTGAAATCCAAATCATTACATTAATATCAATAAACACATTATAAAGACATCTGATTAATCAACGATGATGCGTTATGAGAAAGTGCACACAAATGGCTTTCAAGTTATGTTTTCTTCGACTGACGCCAGTGATAATAGCCTTTTATAACTAAATAAACGATTCGTGAGATAGTTATGCACCTTGAGTTGCTACAGATGTGATGTAAGTCTTAGTTCCCAAGTCCACCTGAAGCCATTGGTCTTTACTAGATGCAGCGCACCAGGCTCCAACTCGCTTCTGAGTGTGATCGTCTTCAATGTACATTCGTGCATTGCGGGCGCCGTAATCCCAGGATCCTTGGTTCAAGATCAACAAAACTCAAGTAAATAAGGGTAAGTATCGGAAGAAAAAGTGAAGGGCAAATTTTCATCTTCATTTATTCTTAATGTGTTGTGCCTCAATTTTTTTTTGCTGGGAATCTTCACCATAAAAGTGTCAATAATCATAAATATTATTGTGAACATCATTATATAATATCTTAATAATATCTTAATGATAATCAAATATTCCTTGTTGTAATTACACTGCACTGACCGATGTTAAGTTCTGATGAGGCAGTGAAAGCCGAGTCAGGTAGTCTGTTGTCCCATCCTAATCCAAGACGATTCGAGCATGGAGCTGAAAAAAATCAAAAAACTTGATTGATATGGCTTTAATAACTTAGTAATGACGCTACAGATCCACAAAGACACAGACACAAAATATTGATACCTCTGGATGCAGAGGTAGCTAAAGAAAAAAATGTTGCTCAAAGTAGGAAGACTTTTGCGGGTATCTTTTAAATGCCTTTTTACCATTTCCGAGTAATAACTTACCAAAAGGTCTCACGGGCTCATTATCGCAGTATTTTGATTTACAGCTTTTCAAGCAATTCCTTTTAACATAGTCGTCGGTGGAGCACCTTCCCTCCTTTGCCCAAGTAGCACAATTTCCATGACTGTCTTTACATTTGATACCTTGAAAGCMGGTTGTACAGTATGTTAGAGGATTCATTGCTTACATCAACATTTCAAATCAAGCTGCCTTTGCTTGCAACAAGCCGCGCCTGTTCATCATCCTTCAACTTCCTCGCGAAGTCTGCGCGCTTTCTACATCCACAATAAATTTAGTCGTGTGAAATGATAACTTGTAACTATCTATTGCTCTCCCTCCCCCCATTCTCTTCCTCTCTGCATCGGCCTTTCCCCTCTCCCATTGAAAGAATTAGCACATTGATAGCCTTCAACACCATTATAAGAAGAAATTGTTATTTTAATGTGACTTACCAATTGGGTTTGGTGGAATGGTCTGGATTCCTGGATTTACTGTGGGTGGTAGTGTTGTTGGTAATGGTGGGGTAGGAGGTAAGGAAGGTTGTGTAGGTTGTTGTGTTGTCTGTGAGTCAGTAGTAGGTTTGGGTGTATTAGTGTGTGTTGTTCGTTGAGCGTCRGTAGTATTTTGTGGACGTACTGTGCGCCGCGATGTGGGTGGTTGTGATGTTTGTGTTGGTGGAGTAGAAGGCAGGGGAGTTTGWGTTGGTTGTGTTGTCTTTGAATTGGTGGTGGTAGATTTGTGTTTGTGGGTTGGTGTAACTGTTGTGTTAGTCTTTGGTTGRCTTGTAGATGTCGGAACGTTGGTAGTGGTTGGAGTAACTGTGGTAGGAATCACTATGAAACAAGATGCAAACAGTGTGACAACAATGACAACCACAACAACAACAAATGTTATGTGATATAAAAACAGGTGGGAACTAGYGGTAAACTAGTGTGAGCTGCGTCGGTGTTTCTAAAGAAACAGTTGTGTAAAAAGATAAATTAAGCACCGTAAAAAAGTAGGTACTGACGTTAATCCTTCGTCGGAGTAAAAGAGCTTTACTTTACATAAAAACATCCTATTATTAATTATGGATGAGCCTTTCACACTTACACGAGAGTGTGGATAGGGAACAGACTATTGGAGAATGTTTAAAACTGACAGCTAACAATTAGCTTATAGGTTGTCATTTTAACGCGTTTACTGACAACAGATAGTAAGACTCCAATCAAGACCCTTTAACAGGGATAGGCTTGTCTAYAGCAAAAACCACTGTATACCGACAGGACTCCATTTGCTGAATCTGAATCTTATATGTAGTTCATGGATGGCTTACCTGGACATCCATACAACTCAGCCCTCATACAGATATGATTTTTCCATGTTTGAGGATTAATTCGTATATATTGAGCGCTGATTGGTGGAGATATTGAATTAGTTGTCACAGTTGACATATCTATATTCCCCGTGAATACCTAAAAATAGAAAAAAAAGGAAAGAGGATGTTTAATCGTTAATTTTGTAATTACTTTATGATGAGCCTTTTTTTAATTTTATTTTTCGATGCGGTGTTGCWCACGAAGGTGAGAAAYCTGCAGTTACCGTTGAGTGTTGAATCCACGAGTTGCCATCATCACTGTACAATAAAACATAACTTTTAACGAACTTTGGGGTTTTACTCTCTCTACCTGAAAAATTAAAGCTTTCATTTAGTTACTAATACATGATGGAGAATAATTATAATTACAGCCAGCGAGTCATTCAATCGACCAGTTGGTCAATCACTATACTTACCTTGAGTTGCAACACCAGTAACAGTAACCTTAGCCCCGAGATMAATTTCCAGATATTCCCTGGTGTCCAGATCACGAGAGCACCATGCTCCCACCCCTGTTACACCTGGTTTGTGATGTAAACGAGCTTCACGAGCACTGTGCCATCTAAACCAATGGGAAAAGCAATAAATATTATGATTACTATAATAACACATGATTATCATTAGTCGTTATTGATGCGGTAACCTTAACTGAAGGACGAATGGAGAAATGGCCTCCTTTCACTCATTAAACCAGCTTATAATATATACAGCTATATGCAAAAATTATTATCATTTTGACTTACAGCCTTTTGCAAAAATTATGAGAATTGTCTAAATATCTAAATATCATATATCCATATCCATATATTGTCCGGAACACGCGGGTTTGCTAGAATAATTCATTGTTGACATCGAGAAAATGTTCAGAACTACGGATAAGTACGTCGCCAAAAAAAACTAAACAACAAAGACAAGGGACTAAGGGCATCGCGCGGGATCATGCACTTGATATTATGATATTTAGATATTTCAACAATTCTCATAATTTTTGAAAAAGGCTGTATATTCCAAGTATATATAAAATATATAAGAAATTATGGGATATCATCGCCAATATTTTTTTTAAGTTCGCTAGTACTTTCTGAAAAAAATATTGTCGATATATCCCATAATTTCTGATATATTTCATATATTTGAAATATGAGCAAAAAAAGACTCATAATTTCTGCATATTGCTGTATCATAAACAATTATAATAATCATTCATATTTTTACAAACTTGGCATTATGAAAGAAAGCACAAAAAAACATGTTTACCATACTAAACATTTCCATTCCCTTTAAAGGGAAACCTCGCGCTAATCCGGCCACCTAAGGGAAATCGGGAAAATGGTCGTATTGACGTGATGTCTCGGCAGAAAAGTGTGTGGCTTTAATCGAAGTGACATAATGCATTTATTTTAAAACTGATGTACACGATGCGATTTGGCGTGTACTCGTTGTCTCGGCGCCACGTTGTAGGATTTTGAACCCTTGTTCTTGAAGCCTCTCGTGACTACAATGTAGTTCATTTGTACGGTACGATTTCTCCTTGATTTCATTACATAGYAASACCTTACCTGTTGACCTGTGTGGATGATGATATCGCACTATCAGGAATMCGTTTGTCTTGCATTCCAAGAGGCTTAGGAGAYACGCACGGTTTAGGTGAGGGTGTCAATGCGGGCGTTGTWCCTGATGAAGGGGTGCTTTTACGAGTGGCTGGTGTTGAAGTATCTGTAGGAGGGGTAACGGGCGGGGGTGGAGTGACCTCTGGTCCTGCTGTAGGCGGTGTTACAGGGGGTGGCGGGGTTTGTGGTACACCAGAACCAATGTATAAACGAATCCAGTTCACAAACTCGCTAATTCTTGCAAATACAGTGTATTGATTGTAGCCAGCACTGCAAGTTCTGGTTCCCCAGCTGACTGCCCCTTGTAGTACCCACTTATTATTAGTTCCTTTACAAACGAGGGGTCCTCCCGAGTCACCCATGCATCCGCTGACCGTGCTGCTTCCACCATACCCAGCACAAAGCTAATGAACAAGAAAGTAAAGTTATATGTAATATATACAATATGAGCGTGCGATCTGTATGTAATATACAACTCTCTTCATGGGCTATGATTTCTATTGTGTTTTGCCTTATGAATATTAATGAGTTTTATAAGCTATGACATTAACATGGACAAATTTAATAAGAACTTAACGTTGACCCTACCATGGAGGTTGTTATTGTTCCATACTTTCCCATTGCTTCCGCACATTTCTTTTGGGTAACCGAAGGCATCATAGCTTCTTGAAGGACGACAGACCCTGGTTTCAAGGACCCAGTCCTTCCCCAGCCTAAAAGAGGTTAAAATGAATGCGTGTAAATTCAAATGAGATTATGATAAATGGATTATAACTTTGATCATGATTATAATTGTGATGGTTATCATCAATGCAAAAGTGATTGTATTCATTGCCGTTGCCATCGACCGATAATCATAAGAATAGTGCTCAGATAATGTTGATAATGATTGAATATGATGATGACGATGACCTTTCGGTCTTTAGTACCAACCGAGGAATACTGTGAGTCAACGTACCAGTGATGTAGCAGGTTTTTCCAGGTCGTACGCTAACACCATGAGAAGGGAGGCAAATTGTGTTCACCGCTTTGTTTAGACTAGCTGGACGACTTAGCTTTAAAAGAGCTAAAACAAACTGTCAGTGATCAAGACAATGATAACTTTTAGCCGTAAGTTAAACTCTTTTTGATCATTCAAATATTTATGACGTGGGTAAATCTAGTTGAGAAAGGCCAAGCACGTGGACGTCAGACGGCGAGGTATCATGGGAAATCATATTTGAGAATTGAAAATCCTCATGAAATACCCCATGCTGCCTCGCGGTCGGATAATGAAGCTTTATAGGCTTTCTCAAAGACAACAACAATAATTGAATAAGCTGTAACATACCTATATCGTTGTTGTATTGTTGTCTATCGTATCTAGGATGTACAATAATTTGTGAAACGGAGAACTGTTGCTCTGTCTTATCGTTTCTATGAATGTGATGTTCACCTGGTTTGTGGAATAAAAACAAATCTCAACTTCTTGTTAATGATCAAGTACCTGTTCTTGATATTACATATTTCTTACAGACGATTGATTTACTGAATCAGATTAAATCAACCAACGGTTTTTTCCATCATCTTGAAATGTAACCGTGCCTTAGCATCGAAGCCGTCCGCGCATTTGCCGAGAAGAAGGTAGAGGTCATTCCAAATGGCCATTGAAAAAAAAAACAAATATTTTGCTCAATCAAAACTAGTGAGTACTTGGGCATTGTTTCCCACTCACCGAGCTTTATGCGATAACCCTTGTCTTTGCTGCTTCCTCCAACGCAGTGCGCTGCTGTCAAGACCCACTGAGCATTCAGTAACGAACCACCACAATGATGGGTACCATAGCGAGTTAGGATTTGTACCTGCCAAGGCCAACTGTTCTTAACTGCTGTCTGTCCGTCAACTATTTTACCAGGAAAACGCCCATAATGCCGTACACCACACTGACCTGAAGATTAAATAAAGTACTATCATCATAAAGTTGATTATTACAGAGATACTGATGTTCTGGTGTTGGGAAACTAACTGCAATGTATCATGTTTCTACCACTACCGTTCGTAAGTCGCGCGCGTTAAAGGGACACTGTCAATGGATGACATGCGCGGTAACAATCTCACCTCTAACGGACTTTGAAAGTATTACCTTCGAGGTAAATCATTTTGTGGTG